TTGACATCGGCGTTTCCTTCGTAATTCCTATTTGCTACGACAAGGGGAAACTATGTATAGCACTCCCTTGCAATTAGTGAAATAACTTGACAAACCACTTGTAGGCTCAGATAACCAAAATTTTCCTTTTCTCATTGGTATTGGAAGGGTGTTGTTGGCTCTTTGGACCGATTATCTGTAACTGCATTATGCAAAATGATTTTTGTCATCCTTTTTTCCTTCCATTTATACAGTGGTCTTACTCTTTCCTTTGGAATGCTGTGTTCTTTCCCTCTTTTGATGTGTGGTCGTAATGTGCATTTTGTTTTTGCTGGATGGAGGGATACAACACTTATTTTTTTCCCTGGTATCTTGTACAACTAGGGGCGGAGCCGGGGGACAAAAAAATAAAAAAATACTGGGCTGATATAGAATTTCTTTTTGCCTTTTAAGAATTATTTATTGAGGAAATTACACAAATCCAGGTGTTTAAAAATTGATTTTCAAAAATAAGGTCTAAAGTTTATTTATTAAAAAATCAGGTAATATATATTAAAACCCTAATTAATAACCCTAATTTTAACATACACTACTCCCTCCTTTCCATCCCTCGTCCCTCGTCTCCCTCCCTACCCTCTCTGAATGGCGCGACGGCAGCGTCGCACGAGTCGGCGCAACGGCGGCGGCTCACTGAACAGCGGAGACGCTGTCGTTCACCTCTCTCCCTGGCCTCTCGTCTTCTTCCAAAACGTCTCGTCTCTCTCTTTCTCTCTCCCCCCATCATCGACCCACTTCTCTCTCTAAACACATGCAACCGCAGCTTTGTCGGCCAGAAGGAGCTCAAATCGCGGCGATTTGCAGCTGTGAAATGACTTGTGTTCGATGCGGCGCGAAGAAGCAACAGTATTTGCGAAGTAGATCCACCCACTCCGATGACTCTTCACATGTGAAGCACCACGACCAGATCTGGGTGGTGTTTTGTGTGGTGGCAATTTTGTGGTGGTGGATATGGCGGTTGGGGTGGTGTGATGTCTCTTAGTTGGTGCGATTTGGTGGCAGCGATGGTGGTGGTGATGTCTATAGTGGTGTTGGCATTGATGGGGGTGGAGGTGGTGGCGGGTTTGTGGTGGTTGTGGTGTGGTTTGGTGTGGTGTGGTGTGGTGATGTCTATGTTGTTGGCGGCGACAAGGATGGTGGTAGAACTGGTGGTAGCGACGGGGATGGAAGTGGTGGCGGGTTTGAGATTTTTTTTTTTTTGTTGAATCTGGTAGTAACGGGTTTGTTGGTGGTGGTGCTGTTGTGGTGGCAGCGATGGTTATAGTGGTTTGGTGACAGTGGTGGTGGTTTGGCGCGGCGCGGCAGTGATGGTGGTGCTGTTAGAGGTTGCCAGTGTTGATGGTGGTCATCAATTATTTGGTCGACTGTGACCATTAAATTGGTTAATTTGTGATCAATAGATAATATATGACTAATGAAAAAGATAATTTGTAACCATGAAATTACGTGACCTAAAAAGTTTGATAATTTGTGACGGCTAATAAGTTGTGACTCATAATATTTGTGATTTGTGAGCTATTAATTTTTTGATTTGTGACCTATGAAAATTTTAATATGCACTGTAAAAAAATTTGTGATTTTTTTGTTGACAGCGACAAGGATGGTGGTAGAACTGGTGGTAGTGACGGGGATGGAGGTGGTGGCGGGTTTTAGATTTTTTATTGTTGAATCTGGTGGTAACGGGTTTGTTGGTGGTGGCGCTGATGTGGTGGCAGCGACGGTTATAGTGGTTCGGTGGCAGTGGTGGTGGTTCGGCGCAGCGCGATGGTGATGGTGGTGCTATTAGAGGTCGCAAGTATTGGTGGCGATCATCAATTATTTGGTCGACTGTGACCATTAAATTGGTAATTTGTGACCAATAGTTAATATATGACCAATGAAAAAGATAATTTGTGACCATGAAATTACGTGACATAAAAAATTTGATAATTTGTGACTTACTAATAAGTTGTGACTCATAATATTTGTGATTTGTGACCTATTAATTTTTAGATTTGTGGCCTATGAAAATTTTAATCTGCGACCGTAAAAAATAATCTGCGACTAATTAATTTGATAAAATTTGACCAATAAATAAGTTGTGACATATAAATATGCATACGTGATCATGAATTGTATAATTGTGATTTTAATATATTTAATTAATAAAATATATTTAATTAATTAAGAAATACCCAAATTTTGTAATTTTAAACTTAATGCCCGAAAATTGATTTAGTGATAATCAATGCGAAAAATTCATATCTAAAGTATTTTCTTTACCTCAATTCAAAAGTAAGGTAAAATAATTTGAAAATTCAAAAATCAGGTATTGATTTAATTAATTAAAAATATTTATTAAATAAAGATAATAAAGTCACAGTTTGTGATTACTGGTCACATATTCATAATTATAAGTCACGGATTTATTTATTGGTCATATATCGTCAAATTTTTTGATCCCAAATTATTTCGATGTCACATATCAAAAATTTGTACATAACAGATTATTTCGAGGTCACAGATTTTTTAGGTCACAGATTATCGAGGTCACAGATTATTTTTGAGTCACGTATTATTAAATTTTAGGTCACAGATTACCGCCGCTTGGTCATAGGTCACAAATCGACCAAATGCTTGGTCACAGATTACCAAATGTTTGGTCACAGACTACCGCCCTTTGGTCACAGGTCGCAGCAGCCACAAACCACCACACCCACAGCAACAAACCACCACACCCACAGCCACAGAACACACGCAACAACAGATTCGCCACCACCATCAATAGATCCGCCACCAACCATCAATTCGCCACCCCACAGATACTCCATGAGGCCTCTCTCTTCGAGAATATTCACCACATTGAGCCTATTCCTTATATCTGCGGCATCTCCTTCAGTTGATTCTTGGACAAATTGAGTCCAGTTGGACCAACATCACGACCAACCAAACCCGCCACCAACATCACGCTAGCCAAACCCACCACCGCATCCATACCCACCAACATCACTCCATACCCGAACCCTTAAACCACTGCCACGTCGACCAGAACCCTCGAACCGCAGCAACGTCGCGACTGTTGCTACGCGAACGACAGAGTCGCAACGCTGCTCAGTTCGTGGCAGCGTCGCGCACTGCTGCGCGAATGGCAGTGTCGCTAGCAGCGTTGCGACGACGCTGCTGTCCAGCAGAGAGGGAATAGGCAGATACGGTGGGGGAAGGAGAGAGAAGGGGGACGGAGGAAAGGGGAAGGGGAAGAGGAGGGGAGAGGAGGCGAGAAAGAGAGAAATGTGAGGGTGAGAATGATAAATTAGGGTTAGGGTTTTTATATTACCTGATTTTTGAATAATAAAACTTGATCCCTGAATTTTGAATTCCAATCTTTAAATACCTGAATTATTATAATTTCCCATAATTAATACGTGATTGATGATTTTTTTCCCTTTGAAAGTTTTTGGGCTTGGGGGGCAGGCCTGGTCTAAAGCCCAGATCATTTCTATATGGTAGTTGTAGTTCGAGGGTGGCTATAGTTGTTTGGTTGGCGTGAGGTTTTTGTCCTTGGACACGTTGTTTTGTTATTTCCTATATCGTATAAAGTTGGATTATGTTGTGTTGTCATCATGTGAGTGTATATATTCATGATCCGTGACTTTGACCCGCCTTTCACTCTGCTTGCTATGATTTTCCCATTCCATCATGGTTCAAAGTCCATACCATCATTAAAAAAAAATCTGCAGTGCATATATCAAGATTTTTCTTCTTATAAGTCAAAAAATGACTTTCATATAAAAAAAATTGCTTGTAAAGTAAAAATATTACTAATAAGATAAAATTTACTTATAAAATATAAAAGAATTTATAAGTAAAAATTCACATATATGTGAAAATTATTTATAATTTCAAAATTAACTTATAATAGTAAAAAGTAAAAAATTAATATTTTTTAATAAATAAATATTTCATTTTTAAATAAAAAACACACACCTAGACTATGCAAGTGTTTTCATATTAATTAGCACTACTTTTTATTTATTTAGGGTGCGTTTGAGCTACATTATTTTGGAATAAGATTGATGGAGAATATGTGGTTGAAAAAAAAAAGTTATTGATGTGATGAAAAATATTATTTTATTGAAAAACGTATGATTGAAAATGATTAGAAAATTTTAATGTGACTCAAACATGGTATGAGTAAGGAGCACGTACACAATTTGATTAAGTTTTGGTTACTTAGCCCGAAAAGTTGAACATTTTGGAGTTTTCGTTCAATTCTTGAATTTAAAATTGATAATCATATCCACTCGTTTAAACAAACAAAAATCTGCTAGCTGTAACAATAATATAATAGTAATAGTTGGAAGTATCATCCAGCATCAACTCATACTCCTTCCTTCCTTAAATCAAAACTCATAATTTCTGTAACACTGACAAAACTATGGCCTATAAGATCCCAGTTGTTTTGCTAATATTACCGGTTATCGTGGCTGTTCTTCTCTACCAACTCGATACCTTCGATCCGGTTCCATATCCCGACCACGAGTTGACTCCAAAGCAGCCCCTGTTTGTGCCTAAGAGAAACAGTCACATGCTTCATGGCTCAGAAAAAATCGGGGTTGGTCAGCTGCTGGGCCCAGAAGATATAGCTTATGATCCTATCACAGGAGTTATATACACCGGTTGTGCCGATGGGTGGATCAGCCGAGTTATGGTTAACGAGTCAGCAGCTGACTCGAAGGTGGAGAGATGGGTCAACACCGGTGGCAGACCACTTGGACTTGTTCGTGGACATCATGGTGAACTCATCGTAGCAGATGCTGTAAAGGTTAGTGAAACAATTTGAAGTCTTACGTATTATGGTTGCTTTAAAGGCGGCGTTTCAAATTGAAGAATACAATATATAAGAAAGAACACAAAGAATTACGGGGTTCGGTGTCAGTATGACAAACCTACATCAAAAGGAGAAGAGAGAAAACTATATTCGCTTATATTCGAAGTGTTACAATGGCACATATATAGTCATATTACAATAAGGTTGTCTGAATATAACAAATTATGGAAACATTCCAATTATCATGGACCAATATTCTCCAAATCATGCCATAATATTTTCTTCAATATTAGCAAATATTCTTCAAATCACCAAATAGCTCTCTTATCCATCACACATGCTTGGTTCAGATTTTGTTTCTATTTTAATAAAATTAAAGACAAGCAATTCAGAAAATGTTAGAACAAAATTCTCATGTTATGAATATTTTCGAGTAGCTATTCTTGGTAATAGTATTTAGAGAAGCAGAAAATCCATATTTTTATGCTTTGCAGGGGTTAATAAATGTGAGTCGAGATGGTACAATGGAGTTGCTGACTGATGAGGCTGAGGGTCTAAAATTTAAGCTAACAGATGGCGTTGATATTAATCTTGACGGCGTTCTCTACTTTACTGACGCTTCTTACAAATACGCTTTCAATGAGGTTTTTTTGGATGTATTCGAGGGCAGACCCTATGGCAGATTCATGAGTTATGATCCTTCCACCAAACAAACCACAGTGCTGCTACGGGACTTGTATTTTCCAAATGGTGTTACGGTTTCAGCTGATCACGATTCTGTTATATTCTGCGAGAGTGTCATGTAAGTGTTTTTTTCACACTGGAACGCGCTATGGAGTCTTATCTATTATTATCGAACGTTCATTATTTCACCATCACAAGAAAGAGGTATCGAGTCCTATTACGTAATTGCAGGACAAGATGTAAGAAGTACTACATAAAAGGTGAGAAAAAAGGATCCGTGGATACATTTATCGAAAATTTGCCTGGAGTGCCTGACAATATTCGATATGATGGAGAAGGCCAATACTGGATTGCATTCCCCACGGTACTCCTTGATGAAAATTCTTATACGGTTAATTGCATTTAAGTCTACAATTTTATTAACACTTTTCTGTATAAATTATACAACAGGGAGTGACATACTTTTGGAGTTTGTCTCAGAGGTATGCTTTCCTCCGTAAGGTGACGGTGATAATGATAAAGTACATAGGCCTACCACCACATCTCCAGAAGAATGGAGGGATTTTTGCTGTCGATTTGGATGGAAAGCCAGTTGCACACTATTATGATTATGATCTATCTAAAATCACATCCGGCATCAAAATCGGGGAGCATTTGTATTGTGGTGCCTTAGAATCGCCATACATCACGCGCCTTAACATAAGCCAGTATCCAGCAACATGATATGGTGGTTGGGTTATCTGATCAAAAGCGAGTTTCACATTAATGATGCTATGCAAATATTCTTTCCCATGTTAAATATTACTGAATCTCTGCTTCAAACTGTAAACTGCTTACTTTTGATTGTACAAGAGAGAGAAGAAGAAGAAGGTGGGAATATTTCCTTTTGGTGGTTTAGGCCATTTGAAGAGTTTCTAATGTTTAAATAATAATAATAAAAATAAAAATTATGTACTTGATCTTCCGTCTCAAACTTTCTCCCTACACGAAATTAGAACATTCCAACGTTTGCTGTAAACTAGCGTGAGTTGTACTTAGTGTCAATCAGGTAATTATACTTTAGTTCGATCGGATAATTCCACTTTAATTTGATTTCAATCATGTAACTATACTTTGATTTGATTTGAATTAAGGTGGGTAAGTTCAATTGTAATTATACACTTCACTTAGTGTGAGTCAGGTAATTATACTTCAATTTTGTTCGATCGGATAATTCCACTTTAATTTGATTTCAACCAAGTAACTGCACTTTGATTTGATTTGAATTAAGGTAACTTCGTTAAATTCTACCAACAAAAATACGACGCGAGAGTTAATAAATAATGACCATCACACGTCACCCTTAGTTGTGCATTTCTACTAACTTCATACCTTCGACCGGTTCCAAATCCCAAGCACGAGTTGACTCCAAAGTAGTCCTCAGTCAAATGCTTTGTGACTCTTTGAACAAGTCTAGTACATTACAGCCACACTACTATTCAATTCGGAATGCACGAGAAAGAAATTAGAAATATAGAGTTTCTATACACCATGAACGTGAATAGAATATTTTCTTCATTGTGACGACACTATTTTACGACATTCTTTTCATAGTACTATTAGCTATGTAAGACACCTAAGACGTACCAAAACACATGCAATAGAAATACTGTGTTTTTAATGTTTACATACAACATGAACTAATAAAACGAGTATCTGGAGTTGGTCTTGGAACTGTTTGAGAATTGCTTAAGAGTATTTTCAATGCATTCCATGAATTGCAATCTATATAACATTTAAATAGACAGATTTCTAGTCGATAGACGATCAACTAATCAAATTAGGGTTAGGGATATCTATTTTTAAAGAAAGCAATCATTAGAGACGGGTAGACGAATTTCTAGTCGATATGACATTAATATATTCTATCAAATCTAAAATTGGTCTTCCATTTATATTTAAATACTTCTGTCTGCATGTCTTTTATCAAGATTGACATAATAAAAATAAAGTGGAAGAGAAAGAAAATCTAATATCCAAAAACATAAAAATAAAATCAATTAAATTGCATCGGACAAGTGGCCGCTCGTGCTGGCTCTAGTGATTTTTTTCTATTATATTAGAGGGTAGCTCGTGCTCATCTAAATTCAGCCGTGTTGACTTGGATTTCTGAATTCGTCACTGGACCCACCTAAGTGTGCTTTCGTCTTTATTGAGAGAGGCTAGAGGTTCAATTACAAGAAAATAACAATTAAAAATAATATGAATATAGTAATCCTACATGCTACAACAAGACTATTTTCTACGCATGTGGTCAAGAGCCAAGATGTCGTCACTAGTTAGTTGAAAGATACTAATCATGTAGTAATTTTTTTTCGACGGCAATGGAGAAGACGAAGGTATCAATTTCTCAATCCTTCACTTCATTTGTGCAGAAAACAATCTTTAATCCGTCGAGATAAGTTGAAGTTGTTATCACGTAGTAATTAGCAAACTGAATTCATGATGATATGAACAATATGGGACTAGATAATTCGACAAACTTGAAACTCAATCTAATTTTATTGGATTCGCTGAGGCTTTTAATTTTCTTCAATGATACAAAAACTCGAATAATTTGATTTGACATAAAAAAAAAATTGAAAATCTGTAAAAAAATAAAAATAAAAAATGCCCAGAATACCGATGAAAACTAATTAGCTCATTAAATGTTTCTATCATTTATTAGTGGTTTAAAAGATGACGCGTAGTTCATTAATTCCTTTCCGCATAGGACGACGTCGTTGATCAAGTATGCCACCAAGTGGCCATTGATTGAAGAGTTGATCAAGCCGTAACGGTTCTTCTACGAATTCCAGTCACCTAAAATCTCACCGTCTTTTGTGTTGGCTTTAGTTGTTTCTCGGTCGGTTCTCTAGTTTCAAATAAAGACAACTTCTCTAATTTCAGCTGAGGCTATATGCTGGTCTCCTTATTTATGATGCATTTTGCATGCAGAAATTTGAATGTTCTACACAGGCAGCCAACTGTTGCCACACTTCTTGCGGTAAAGTTCTAACTTTTCGATAATTTATGTTCAGCTAAACTTGTTTTTGATCTTTTGCAGCCTACCAACTGGCCAAAATAGTGCAAAACACTTATTTTCTTCTTCTATCCGTCCCTTCCCAAGCTCGTTATAATTTCCAGTTATCACATCCAATATATTTGGATATGTCTACCTTGTATATTGTCTCTATTAGAGATTTCCCATGTGTTGGCTATCACAATGCTTTAGATAGCTCTGGAAAATACTGAAAAAATCTTTATCAACTTTTGTAATGTCGTTTTCTTGAACTAAGTTGCACAAATGATTCTATTGCTTACAGATATTTCTACTAATCAATTTGTAGACTGGCATATTTTCGATCAGTAATTTTTTTTTCTCTCTCTTAAAGCATGACATCTTATGTAATTTTCAGGTGCCATGTATTTTAGGTGTTGATTTAACTGATGTGCATCTCTTGGAGTTTCTTCAACAGACATCACTCTGTTTTCAGGTAAGCTGATGATGAGATCAGAAAATATAGGATCTAATTCTACAATCCAAGATAGTACATGTCCGGGTCGATGTTTTTCCCTTTTCATTTGCTGTTTTTCTTCACTAGTGTGCTCATGGACGACCTACTACTGTTCCACTTGTTGAGTTGGATGTCTTGCACAATCTGATTGCTAAGCTTGGTTCATGTTCCTCTGGTTCGCAAGAGTCATGGCATGGGTTGTTTCAGCATGGACTCAGTTTAGAACGTGCCAGAAAGCGCCTCAACATTTCCTGAGTTTCATAGACGTCCCTCGTGTCAACAACGGAGAAGTCATGTTGGACTTGGCCAGGTGGTTGAGTGGTCCCATACAGTTAAAGTTTTGAATAAGATAGAAAATATAATGCAATCGATAGCCTCTAAACCTGAGGCTTGGAAACGTTATAATCAATCTGATTTACAAGAAGAATCTAGAATATGTACAGCTGTGAATTAGTTCCTAAAATAAAGGATCTTGTCTAGAATAATTTGTAACAAGATGGCAAGGAACCATAGCCATTAATAATGGATTCCATAGCAATGTAAAGCAGCTGATGTTATATTCCAGCTGGTGCAAGCACTGGAGTGAGGTGGAGCTAACTAGGATTAGTTATTTTAGTTACACCCTCCCTCAAGCTGAAGGTGCCAGAGTTACCCCAAGCTTGTCTTTCAAGAACAAAAACCGTGAATGACTTAAACCTTTTGTCAACAAGTCAGCAATTTGATCTGAGGTTGGTATATACTTTACTTCCAGTTCTTTGGCGATTACTTTGTTTCTGATGAAGTGAACATCAAGTTCTATGTGTTTCGTCCTGGCATGGTAAACTGGATTTGCAGCCAGAGCACCAGCACTAATATTATCACACCAGATGATTGGGGTTTCAGTTAAAGGTAGTTTCAATTCCTGAAAGAGTGACTGAATCCAGGATATTTCTGATGCGATTGAAGCAAGTGCTCTATACTCTGATTCAGTACTTGATCGTGCCACGACCTGCTGTTTCTTTGATGACCAACTAATCAGGTTTTCACCTAGGTAAACACAGTAGCCAGAGGTTGAACGTCTGTCATCAGGGCACGACGCCCAATCTGCATCTGAGTATCCACTTAGAGTAAGTGTGCCGTTTCTTTGGATCCAAAGTCCATGATTTATTGTACCTTTAAGATACCTCAATACTCTCTTCAAAGCTTGCCAGTGTAATGAAGTTGGAGCTTGCAGAAATTGGCTCAATTTGTTGACAGCAAACGTGATATCTAGTCTGGTATATTGGAGGTATTGCAGCCCTCCTACAGCGCTTCTGTAAGCTATAGGATTTTTCAAAACTTCCCCATCACCCTTTGACATTGCTTTACCTGCTGGTATAGGCGTGATGCAAGATTTTACATGTTGTAACTCAAACCTTTCTAGTAAATCTCCAATATATTTGGCTTGTGTAAGGTGGATTCCAGAGTCATGCCAAATCACCTCAATTCCAAGGAAGTGATGCAGCCTTCCCATGTCCTTCAGTGTGACAGTCGTGTTGAGCTTATCAATGAAACTTTGCAGCAGGACTCTGTTGTTACCTGTGATTACTATGTCATCCACATAGATTAATGCAAAAATGATTTGATCTTCATTATTGAGATAGAAAAGTGAAGTATCAGCTACAGATTGCTTGAATTTCCAACCCAAAAACGCAGCTTTCAGCTTCTCATTCCAGGCTCTTGGTGCCTGTTTCAAACCATAGAGTGCTTTACTTAATTTACAGACATGACTGGGCTTTGATTCATCCACAAAACCTTCAGGTTGAGCCATAAATACTGTCTCTTTTAGCTTTCCATTGAGAAATGCATTATTGATGTCGACCTGCCTGATTTCCCAACCCTTTGTTACTGCCAAAGTGAGTATAATTCTGAGTGTTGATGGCTTGATCATAGGGGTAAACGTCTCATAGAAGTCAATGCCAGGAGTTTGGTGAAACCCCTTAGCTACCAGTCTAGCTTTGAATCTTTGAGTTGATCCATCTGTATGTTGCTTTAATTTGAAAACCCATTTATTGCCAACAATGTTATACGTTGGTAATGGGGGCACAAGCTCCCAGGTTTTTGCTCTTGTCAAGGCATCAAATTCTTCTTTCATTGCCTTCTTCCAGTTGACATTCTTCATGGCGTCATTCACACTCTTAGGGTCTGGTGAATTCTCAGTCAGTTTTCCAAGGTAGACTTTTGGCTTGAAAATTTCAGCTTTTCCTCTAGTAACCATAGGATGTTCAGACACATTTTCAACTCTATGTTGATCTGTTATCCTGTTGTTATCATTGTCTGATTCAAGGGCATCTTCATCAGCTTGAGGCTCATTTTGTTCTAGTGCTTGAATTTCTGTTTCCCCAGTTTCTTCAGTATCATCAAATGTACTGTTCTGATTGTCATTTAAATCTGAAGACAAGTGATAATCAGCTTGAGCAGCTTCAAGATGGATAGTACCAGTAGGATCTCGATTTGACTCTATATGTTCAGAAGGAAAATTAAAATAGGAAGTTGTAGTTTCAGATGCTATTGGGTCTGATTGACTCTTGTTAGCTGAAGTTGTTTCGAATGGAAAATCCAATTCATTGAACACTACATGCCTAGAGATATATAGTCTTCCAGTTTTGCTCAGGCATTTATATCCTTTGTGTGACATGCTATAGCCTAAAAAAGTGCATTTTGTAGAATGGAAGTTGAATTTCTGACTTTGATAAGGCCTTAGACACGGGTAGCAAGCACACCCAAATATCTTCAATGTCTGGTAGTCTGGCCTTTTGTTGAATAAAGTTTCATAGGGTGATCTTTTGTGGAGTATGGGTGTTGGTAGCCTATTTATGAGATAGGTTGCTGTCTGAAAAGCATCCCACCAATATTTTAGAGGAAGTTTGGCTTGAGCTAGAAGTGTTAAACCAGTTTCTGTAATGTGTCTGTGCTTTCTCTCGACTCTTCCGTTTTGAGCAGAAGTGTAAGGACAAGGGTGCCTAAATTCTCTCACTACCTGGTTCAAGAATTTTGAGAATACTCGATACTCACCACCCCAGTCAG